GATGGCGTTGCAATCTATGCCCGTTTAACAATTTCCATAACACGCAGACAATCTAACTACATTTTATTCCACTTCAATTTAACATTCAATGAAACCTAGAGAAACTACAGTATATTCAGATAAGAGATAGACCGGATGTAAACAAAAGGTTCGGATGATTTTCACGCTAACGCCGCCGTCTCGACGTAAAACAGGAGCCCTCATTGGTCAATTCGCAATTAAATGCCTATGCCGAGCGGCAGAGCAGTCGTATCAAGGCAGAGTCACATTCAGGTTTTAGACGTGTTACGTATGTCGTGTGCATCATTGCAATTTGATATTTCTTTGGATGTTTTCGTTTGTTATCTTATTAAGTTGTTGAGTTTGTCGTTGTTATTGTTATACCTTGTTATTGATTGTTATTGTTATCAACTGCTTGCGCAAAATGCCCAGTAGTACAGATACTGCCGATGAAGTTGTAAACTCCTGTAGTCCACCTAGGAAACGCTCTAAAAAAAGACACCTGAGTGCAGAAATGAAAGAGGTCATTTTGAATATATATAAGATCGAGCGCGAGGAGAACGAGGCATCAACCATCAAAGAAATTGTTGTGAAGGTTTCTCACAAAGTTGGGGTGTGTCGCGCATCAGTGTTTAATGTGTTAAGACAATACAAAAAAAATCACACCTTTTCTGAGCCAATGACCAGTAAACATCGCAAAAGTATTGTTAAATCATTGGATGAAGCTGATAAGCATGCGATTAGGAGGAAAGTGCATGAATTCTTCATTAGGAATGAAATACCTACTATAGATAAAGTACTGCAGGAGGTAAATGGAGATACAACGTTGCCAAATTTCAAACGATCAACTTTCCATGCGTTACTGAAACATTTAAATTTCAAATGGACAAAACGGGGTCGTAATAGTTTGCTACTGGATAGAGAAGAAATTGTGCTATGGAGGAGGGATTATTTAACAAAAATTGGGAAATATAGAAATCAAAACAGGAAGATTTATTACCTTGATGAAACGTGGGTAAACGCAGGACACACTACAAGTAATGTATGGGTTGATGATTCTGTAACTTCATCCAGGAGGGCCTTTCTAGATGGACTGTCCACCGGATTAAAAAATCTAGCAGGCAAATACGAGTAATAGACAACAATCGGATGTTTTTCAAACCTTGGGAACAAGGTTCTAAACATTAATTCCAGGGGGCAGATAAAACATATTATAAGTAACAAAACTTTTATAACTTTCGATAAAATGCGTGGATGTTTTATTGTCATTTTCATTTGTTAGAACTTTTTTAAGCCATGCTTTTATGTGTTTTCGATATTTCAATAATTTTTTAATATAATCTTAAAATATGTCGAATATTATAAACTTAAAAAAAGTTACTAAGTTTTATATTGTGTACCGTTCCTAATAGTTCTAATCATTTTAATTCATACTTTAAGCTTTATAAAGTTATAATTTGTTAATATTAATATTTGCGCGTATTTCAGGTTCCTGATCATTCATTTTTTAAAGGTTTATAACTTTAAATTAAATTGTGAAGCGCTGAGTAATCATACGACGTTCAATATTCTTTCTTTCAATATGACTAAATAATCCCAATTATAGCAATCTGATACTCATGTCTCAATGTTTTTTCGCTGAATGTGATGAAAACATTTGAAAAAGGTTCGCTTATTGAAATAAATCTACACCAGTTAGTACTTCGATTTCCAGGTAAAGGGAAAAGGCTCATTATCTGCCATATTGGCAGTGAGGATGGATTTGTTGTTGACGGTCTGTGGTGCTTTGAGTCTAAGAAAACTGGAGATTACCACGAGGAAATGAATGGCGAATCGTTTGAACAGTGGTTTTCAAAAATTTTACCGAACTTAGAGGAAAACGCAGTAATTGTGTTGGATAATGCGCCTTATCATTCTCGAAGATTGGAGAAGGTCCCAACAACGGCTTCAAGGAAAGTTGATGTTCAAAATTGGCTCCGCTCGAAAAATATCAACTTTGAAGAAGCAATGCTGAAAGTACAATTATTAAGAATTGTCAAGGATCACAAGGCGGAATATCAAAAATACGCCATTGACGAAATGGCAGCAAGTCAAAATAAAACTGTGCTCCGTTTACCTTCATACCATTGCGAGCTCAATCCCATTGAGCTCATATGGGCAGAGGTTAAAAATTATATAGCTAAGCACAATACAACTTTTAAATTTTGAGACCTCAAAGGACTTTTCAAAGAAGCACTAGAATTAATAACAGCGCAAAAATGGGAAAACTGTATTAAGCACGTGAAAGACAAAGTTGAAAAGAGAATGTGGGAACTGGACAATATTTTAGAGGAACAAGTCGAGCCATTCATTATTGACGTTGGTGCTTCAGGCAGTAGCGATGATGAAAGCTCATCAAGCTCATCTTTCCAATAAAAGATGTCGTTCATCAAATTCGGTAAGTTATAAGTAATTATAAAGCTACTGTATTTTTTAATTAATTATTGACATTTTTGAACCCATTTTGGCAAAACCTATTCAAGAATCTACTTTCTGACAATGTTCAACCATGCACATTTTTTTACGTTTTGAACGTTTTAATTTGGTTACATATTTACCTATAAATCAAAAAATATACTAATCAATATTCTAAAAGCAATTTTAAGAGATATACGATTATTTTTAATTTAGGCTAATTTAAACGCCATTTTGAGATTATATTCGACTGTATTTCATCAAACATCAGGCGGCATCCGAAGCTGGAAATCGAAGCGAAAATTTTGAAACCCTTATGTATATTTACATCATATATTTCTTACCCCACCCCCACATGATCCTATATCCATCACCAATCGTATACACATCGAATTGTGCTAATTTACTACAAAGTTACGCAAAGCAGCATCTACTATCTAAAATATGTACTGCGTGACTCTTAATACGTCCCTGCCGAATGTTACAGCGTTCGATGATCACGTGGTCTTGTTTATGTCCGGTCTATCTCTTATCTGAATATACTGTAAGTGTATTTTGTCCAAAGCCGGGAGACAAACTAATCATATTTTCGAGGACAAAACGCTGTTTGTTCGTCTTAACGGTATGTTTACGTTCATTTGAAAATCAGTCTGCTAGTATTCGAGAAAGGATAGCGTTGCTTGTTGGCGAACTATCGAAATACTTTTGAATTGAATACCTCAGTGAAAATGAACGAAGCAGAACATGTTGTGGATAATGTAGACAGAGGTACCAGAAAAAGAAAGAAAAACATAACCCATAAACAACGTCGAACAGAGATAAGGTAATTAAACAATATATTTCAGCGCGGTGAGGTACATCGCTGTTTTTGTCATTAGGTATTCGGATCCTGATCTAGGATTACTAAATTTTGATCTGAAGTGCCAACATAAGACCGAAAAATTTTAAAGCAAGGAACTACCTTTGTTTGATCTAAAATCTTTAAAACATAATTTCGACACAGAGAAAAATAAAAATGCACAAGATGAAAAATTAAAGCACCAATCTAAGAAGCATTCTATGCTCAACAGCTCCCGTTCTATGCGTTTTGTATTACTGACATTTCCATGAAAAATCCTGTTTTTTATACTTAGCTAGGACATGAAGCTGGTAGAGGAGTAACAGAAATAAGTTCTGCTTTAACTGCTTCTCTGAGCAAGATAGAATTTGATCCAGAAATTAGAGAACAAAGATTATTTTGTGACGGCTGCGGAGGAAAAAATAAAATTTCCCATTTGGTACACGCCCTAATGTCGTGGCTTCTTAAACTTACTGAAGCTCCGAAAAGTTTAAAAACAATTACATGTACATTCCCGGTACGTGGTCATTCATTTATGGCCGCAGATAGAGTATTCGATCAAAGTGAGCTAGAATTACCTGCCCATACTTTTATAAAAACTCCGGAAAAATATTACAAAATTTATTCAAAAAAGGGACATGTTAGAAAACTCGGTATTGACTGGGAACTGTCAGATATAAAAAAGGCATTACAGTGACTGAAAAAGATACCAGGCATAAGTGAAACCAAAAGAATAAATATCATCAGAAAGCCGCAATCGAAAGAAGACAAAATTCTGGTTAAAACGGAGATACTATACAGACGATGCAACTAAGCAGTTTTCAAGCTTACTTAAAGCAAAGAAAAAGCTGAGTCAGGTACATTTACCTACAGTACCACTTCATCATGAAATTCAAAAGAAAAAAATTGACAGTCTCACTAAGTTTCTGATCAATTTATCGGGAAATAATTGGGTGGAAGATCCAGAGTTAAAATGGCTGGACCCAGTTCTGAGAAACTAGTCTCAGCACAAACCTAATGACGATAATATTAACTGCGATGAATGTCAAGGGAAAGAAGAATGTTGCTGCCTTTAAGACGAGACTATTAATATCTTATAAATTTAAGAGATAATTTCTTTATGTTTTATCATTTGGTGACTTACAAACTGTAGTTTGTCCGATGAAGACAATCTATGTATAGTTTGTCCTTTAGTTTTTGTGTTTTCTTTTGCTTACATTTTGAGTGGATTACACATATCTGAATAAATATATTTTTTATTATATTTTCACAATCTGATCTTTTATTTATTTTGAGCCATTAACAGATGACAGTTCTTTCCCTTTCCTGAAAAAATTAAAAATGGACAAAATTCGGTTAGAAAGTCTGCTCCTCAACCGAGGCACAGAACTACAGTGGACCCCCGATAATCCGGCGCCCCCTGTAATCCGACATGTCTTTGAATATTACATACATACGTATTTGACAATCTTCGCCAATGTAGATCACGCAGGTTTGAAAAGGTTACAACGTTTACGCGCCATCGCTATCGTGCTCGACGCGTAAGTATTGTTTTACTTAGTTTGAATTTGACTACTTGTGATGGCGGTACGGCCTAGCATGCGTTCATTGTTTACTATTTATTCATTGTGTATTAAGTATAGTACCTAGTAATGTCATCACAAACTCAGAAGCGAAAGCACAAAACATCGACAATTAAAGAAAAATGTGATATTTTAGACCGCTTAAATCGCAATGAAACGCAATGAAGTGACTACGGCGTAGGCCGATCTACAAATTATGACATTAAAAGAAACCACGAGAAGATCAAGAAATTCGTGTCAACTACTGACTGCGGGCCAGGCAAGAGACAGACACTCAAGAAAGCTGAACATCCAGAAGTGGAAGAAGCTTTGTACATGTATTTCTTCAGGAAAGAAAAAGGCATGCACCAATTTCAGGACCCATGTTGGCCATGAAAGCTAAGTTTTTTTATAAGGAAATAACAAAAACAGATGATTTGGTGGCCAGCAAAGGATGGCTAGAACGTTTTAAAAGTCGTCATGGCATACGTTTAATGACTATTACAGGAGAGAAACTTTCTGACGATGCCACCTGCATAGAGCCCTTTAAATTAAGATTTTTGCAAAAGGTGAACGATTTAAATCTTTACCCGTCACAGGTGTGCAATGCAGACGAATCAGGGCTTTTTTGGCGTGTGATGCCTAACAAATCTTTCGTTTCTTGTAACGGAAAATCCGTACCTGAACGAAAAGTAAGTAAAGAGCGTGTAGCCATACTACCATGTGCTGATGCTGCGGCCACACACGCGCTTAAGATGATGGTCATTGGGAAATCTAATAAACCACGGGCATTCAAAAACATTGATTTACCTGTACACTATTACGGACAAAAAAGTGCATGGATGACAAAAGACCTTTTCAAAAAGTGGTTTGATGAATGCTTCGTACCTGAAGTTAGAAAATGGTTAAAAGATCAGTCGCTACTGAAACACAGATAAGTCCGGAAGATTTGGAAATCTGATGCCGTGGAATGGATAAAGAGGAAAACATTTTTCATGAAATGTCTGACGGAAGATTATAAAAATAAAAGAGGTTTCTAATTATACAACAAACAATCAGGAAAATAACGACGACGTGATTGCAACTGCTCCACAAGTCACAGTACAAGACGCAATTAACGCCTTTGAGCTAGGTTTACAATGGGCTGAAGAGAATGATACATCCTACAACGAACTTTTACTTTTGGGAAGACCGTGGGACAAAGCTCTGATCTCGCGTTATAACAACCTTAAACAAAAAAAAATGATGCATATTTTCAAGCTTCATAATTTGATAAATTCATTAATGATTTTGATTAATAATTCTTTATTATTTTGGTACATATGTACGTGCATTTATGCTTAATTTTATAATAAAACGTAAGCTCTCTATTGTTATTTAATTTACTAAATTCGACATACATAAACTATGTATGATTTGTACTTGAAAGTACATATGTACATATACATAACATAATATATAATCTTACCATTGGATATGTAACTTGTCGGATTACAAGGTACTCTTTTGTAAAAAATTCCGGACTATAGGGGGTCTTAGGCAGTGCTCTATAATCCGACAAATTAGATAGTCCGACACTGCCCTGCATAACGTTTGTCGGATTATCGGATGTCCACTGTATAGCTATTTTCTCAGATAGTTAAACACTAAAGTACACCTACTCGACATTGAAATTAGTGCGGAATTGCAAAGAAGCTCTCGGTTGCATAGTAGAGGAAAATAAAGTTCGTCTCATATGGATACAAGGATACACAGGTCTAGAGGGAAACGAGACAGCTGACACTCTGGCAACGAGTGGGGCTAGCACATCCTTCATAGGGCCTGAGCCAGCGATTGGGATCGCATACAATACGGCTTAACAAATAATTTCTGCAGAGATGGACAGATCTAGGGTTAACCCATGCTAAAGCAACTGTACCAATCGTGACAAAGAAGGTAAAAGACTCTTTGCTACGGCTGGACAGGAATAACCTCAAAGCTCTAGTAGGACTGTACACTTGAGCTTGATATTTCAGTTTGTCTCACGCTTAGCGTTCTTTAAACTTCGAAACGACTACTACATGGTCGGTAGAATGGTGGGTTCAGCCAGAGGAGTGACTATACTGTACGTATACCTTTCATCAAACGAACTTCTACTGAGATAGATGGTAGATTAAAATTACGGAGATTTTTATTAATATCGCTGTATCGGGAACTTTTTGTAGCCTCTTGGAAGAATGTTCATCGATTATTACTTGAAAAATCTTTTTTATGCACTGCACAATTTGTAAGAAAAATTGGAAGTTCGGGATCATAATTTCATTAGTATACATAATACTTTGGCGATTCGATAGGGCATTAACGTTACAGGGACATGAAACCAATGGTCGTTGTAGATAGTATAGGTCTCAGTTTCAAATTAGACAAAGTTAGATGATTAGGTAGTAAACAAAATGCCGTTCAGAATGTTCTGAGATTAAAAGTAATTTCTTACGAAACCGGAGCCGTTTCAATTTGTCCCTGACTTCAAAATAACTTGTTACCTTAGCATTGTCACTTTTTCTCTTCTAACGGGTGTTTTTTTTTTTCGAGGTATAGAACTTTAAGTTGGCATTACTTTTGAAGATGGCGACCGATTTGAGAGCTGTCAAGTGATTTATTCTCAGTTTGGTTTGGCAATTCATCATGAATAGACTCACGAATGAATAATGCTTGCAAATTGTGCAGTTTTATTTCGAAAATAATGGTTCTGTGCGGGATACGTATCGCGCACTACGTACATTTTATTGTCGACAAAATCGTCCATCGATTAACCATGGAACGTTTTCGCACCAAGTTTCGTCGTGCAAGAATTGAAGCCAAGCGATCATCAAGTAATGCGTAGATTCGTTGAATGGGCCCAAAACGAGATTGCCGTTGTTCCCGATTCTCATAAGCGAATTTTGTTTAGCGATGAAGCGCACTTCTGGTTGAATGGCTACGTCAACAAACAGAACTGCCGCATTTGGAGTGAAGCTAAATCTCGAGTCTATGTCGAAACACCGTTACATCCAGAAAAACTGACTGTTTGGTGCGCTTTAGGTCCGTACTTCTTCAAAAACGATGATGGCCAGAACGTTTCAGTCAACGGTGATCGGTATAGAGCTATGATTACCAACTTTTTCATTCCTGAATTGAACAATCATGATGTCCAGGAGCTGTGGTTCCAACAAGGCGGCGCAACATGTCACACAGCTCGTGCTACAATCGATTTATTGAAAGACACGTTTGGTGACCGCCTAATTTCACGTTTTAGACCTGTGGATTGGCCTCGAAGATCTCGTGATTTAACACCGCTAGACTATTTTCTGTGAGGCTATGTAAAGTCATTGGTCTATGCGGATCAGCCATAAACGCTTGACATTTGGGAGAAAACATTCGCCATATTATTGCAGATATACAGCCAAAAATGTTGGAAAAAGTCATCGAAAATTGGACGTCCAGATTGGACTACAACCGAGCCAGCCGTGGCAGTCATATGCCAGAAATCATATTTAAAATGTAATGCCACAAGATTATCTTTCGAATAAAAAAATGCATGTCAATCGAATAATTCGTCGTTGTTTTATTGAAATTTAAAGTTCTATACCTCTAAAAAAAACACCATTTACAAGATGGCATCGTTAGAATTTCAGTAAGACGTTTCAGCTCTTGACCTCCAGCATCAACTTTATTTTTTCTCAAAGAGGGCAGAAGTGAATAGAAATTTTAATTCTGACTCCAAAAATATAGGGTGTTTCAGTTTACTGTTGCATAACTTTAAGATTCGATAGAACTTTTAAAATTAATGCATAAATTCTATATAAATATGGGTGGAAAAATGCGTGGGTCCGAAATACAGGGTGTTTAAATTTACTTTTTACATAGTTTTTTTTAAATATTTCGAACAATATTTGATGTATAACAGTGAAAATTGGTATACAAGGTTTGTTTGGTACGACAAAACGAACCGTGGGCATAGTTTTGCTGTAGCCGTTAGAGGGCGCTCTCTACTGTACCTGTGGTGTAATAAAACGATAGAAAAATTTTTCTTAGTGCAATTTTTTGCTTTTTGAACAAAAAACTGATTGTTCGCACTTTTCTGCATAAAAAAGCTATCTTGTGAGTTTTCGTTTTAGTTAGCCGTTTTTGAGATATTTCGATTTTTACGGTTCGATACATTTTTAATTATTTATGGAAAAATAATGTTTTTTTACATTTCCGATTTGGGCATTACAAGTAATTAAGATGATCGTTTAGATTGTGTTTTTAAACACGGCAATAATTCCAACTCCAAATAAACACAAAAAAACATAATATTAATTTGTTTAATTTTCCAATATTATTTTTAACAAATTAAATTAATTATTTACAACTAAAATGCTATTGGATAGTTAGGACAAACATACAAAATCTAAAGTGGTTGCTCGAAATGTAAACCCAATTGTTCAATAAACAATTCACATCTACGAATGATCGAACGTGGTATAGCATTATTCAAATAAGGCCTTATTTCATCACATGCATTCCTGATTCTGTCTATAAGCATATCTCTTGTGGTTACGGGAGTCTGGTACACTTTTTCTTTTAGAAATCCCCACACAAAGAAATTTAATGGATTTAGGTCAGGGGATCGTGGAAGCCAGGCGACTGCTCCTCCACGGCCGATCCATCTTTCTGGATAATTTTCGTCCAGCCTGTTTCTAACTATTCTCGAATAATGAGCTGGACAACCATCAAGCTGGAACCAGGCCAATCTTCTCGAATCTAACATAACATCATCCCACATATTTGCATGTTCAGACTTAAAAAATTCCAAGAAGGTCGCAGCATTTAACCTTGCAGGCAAAAGGTAGGGTCCAAATAGTCGATTACGGTAGATACCAATCCACACGTTTAGTGAAGCATGACTAATCGGCCCATAAGACGTTACTTAAAAACTCACTATTATTATCAGTTCTATCAAGAATCCACTGACAAAATGTGATTCTTCGTTCTCCGTCCCCTGGCTGTAGTCCTTGCACAGGTTGCAAATGGAAAAGACGTCTATGGTCATTTCTAAGAACACGGTGAACATGACTTGCTGAAATTCCCAAGGCACCAGAAACTCTTTTAACACTTGTGGTCGGATCTCTATCAAACTCACGCAAAATCATACGGGTAAATCTGCGCTGACGAACATTTATGTTTTGATCCCTTTGGAGATTTCCAAAACCATTTTCAATTATTTGGCGATGCACTCTTACAAATACTGAGCGAGTTGGATGTCGTCTGTTTGGAAATCTTCGTGCGTATTCTCTGGCTGCTTCTGCTGCGTTTCCATTTACAAAGCCATACACAAAATGAATATCCGCTAACTCCTGATTGCAGAATAAAAATGGCATTTTTATAAAACTTAAAAAAAAACAGATAAAAGAAACTAAATTTCGTGCATTCACAATTGCAAAAAAACGTTTTAGGTTTCAACAGAC